TCTCTCTCTCACACACACACACACACACACACATGCACTCTGCTTACCTTTGTTCTGGAAAGGTATGGTTGTTGTATTGGGCAGAGTGAAGAAACGCACGCACAAAGTCCCTTTCTCTCATCTATCTTCTTTTGGCTTCTTGGTTGTTCCTTGCCTCTTAACACAGGCCTGAGATCTCATTACCTCTTGTTAATATCCGTGGCAGATAGCAGCAGGACTGCGAGAGATTGCAGGGAGGAAGGAGGGAGAAGGAAGAGATGAAGCTTACAGCTATGAGAGTGAACACACAGCACCAACTGCACAGATAGAGCCCGAGATTTTGCAGGATTTCTGGTGACACTTCTGCAATGAAAGAAAAATGATAATGTATGTGGCAGCGGATGAAATAGATCTGGGGCTGCAGCTGTGGGGATCAAGCAAGATAAATTGAATGACAAATGCATCCCTCAGCGGAGATAAATATGCAGCACCTATAAAAAATAAATATTTTAGAAAGGGAGGAGATGAGGATGGGACAGATTTGACTAGCAGAAGAATAGTTTTGCTGATAGTTTCTTTTTACTTGTTTGATAGGCTGTTTGCTTTGTGGTATAGGGGAAAGATGTTCATTTTATCTCCGTTTTTCTGAGTTGGGTGGATGGTGGCGGCTGGAGCTATCCTGGGTATAAAGGACAGGGAGAAGCCCCTGCTGCTAGGTAATGGGAGACATTCTCCATATGTGTAGCAAGCAGCAGATCTCTCAGCAGTGTACCCATCAGGAGACCAGTGCCCTGACAGAGAGAGGCCAGCTGTGACTGTCACCTCTTGATTAACATTTAATACCTGTCTGCTTGGCATGTAAGATCAAGCCGATGTGTAGGCCCGACAGGAGGGAGACATCCTCCTCCTTCCCCTAGCTCTCTTCTGAGGCAGAACTTTTAAAGTCATAAGGAGAGAAGGTAGTACTGAATTTGCTGTCTAGAAACCCATTATCTGTATCATGATAGCATCTGCAGGTCCCAGTTGAGATGAAGGTTCCATTGTGGCTAACCATTTTCTTTTGCCCTGTTAGGTTTATTCCTCTAAAGCAAGCGCCAGTGTAGTGTATACATGGCTTCAGCAAAGAGCCTGCCCTGCGGAAGTTGGAGAGCTCTCCAGAGAGTTGTCTTGAGGCCCATGAAAACTATTAGTAGAGATTGAACTGGAATTCAAGCCACAGGTCACCTGTGCACCCCCTTCTCTCTTGTTGTTAGTGAGAGTATCTGCTGCCGCCTCAGCTTTTGGTTTGGAGGTTCCAGAACAGTGCAGTGGTGTTGGAGAGTGGTTTGCATTGGGAAGGGAGATCTTTTTTAGTGGAGAGAAGAGGGGTTTGCTTGAGGACAAGGCTGTTGAGATTTAAAAATAAAAATAAAAAAAACTTGCTCTGTTTGCAATGAAATAGCCTCCTTGTCTGAGAGAAGTGTGTTTCCTGCTTAGAGACAGGGCAGGGGCAGATTCTCTGCGAGTAGGATGGCCCTTACCCTGTCAGGCAATAGTAGGGTTTGTGGTTTCCTGGCAGGCTAGCTCGTACCCTTTCCGTTCCATGTAAAGCCTTGGGTCTAAAAGAAAGAATTATCTAGGCACATGCTGCACAAGCTGTCCACAGAAGAGAGTTATTTTGTAGATTTTTGTGTGGTGGGTGTGTGGGTTTGTGCTCCTGAAAAATGAGAGTTGCCAGTTGAAGCTGGGGTTGGTATGGTCAGACATTAAGCAAACTTCACCCCATATGACTCTGCAGATGGCTATCTGTCCTGACCCACAGCTCTGCTGCTGTAACAGGCCCAAGCTCTCCTACGGAGCTTTGCCAAAGACCCTTAGTCCCAGTCCACAGACTCCTCCACCCTGTGCCAGTCTCGGTCCCTCCTCAATCTCTGCTTCAATCACAGCCTTCAGTGTCACGGCACAGCCTCATCTATTTGGTATTCTCACCTCAATATCCACCAGTGTTCCATAATTTTAACCTGCAGACACCTTTTCGCGTGATAATCTTGGCTTCCCTGTGCTTTTGGCCAACCAGCACCCACAGATACCCGCTGTTACTCCTGATCTCAGTCCACCTAGTCCATAGTCCCTCAGTGGTATTTGAGCTACAATGGCAGCTGGGAGCTGAGGCCCTGAGGAACATAGACTTTTTCCTGCTGGCTGCTTGGACTCCACTGAGATATGCTATTGGAAAGAAGTACACTGAAATGGTTCAAAGAGCTGTTTTTAAGCAAGGCCACTGAGCTGGACTGCATACAAACATCTGGTCTGTCACTATATCTCTTTGCATCCTTTCAGCCTAGGGTGGCAGGACCCTCACTGTTGAATATGGGTTATACATTGGACTATAGAATGAATTGAAGGGAAAAGGCGCCCCATGCTGCCTGTCACTGGGGTTGGGAGATGGTTTTTTGCTGATGGGATCTGTTTATGGAAACTATTACATTGCTTTCATTCTTCTTTTGCTTTTCCCCCTCCTAGCTAAAATCTTTTCTGAAGGAATGCAAGATTGCCAACTACTGCAAGCCTATCCGGCAGCTCCTGGAGAAACTGCAGGAAAATTCTTCCTACATCTCCAGCAGGCGTCAGAAAGCTACCTTCGGCGTGGCCAGCAGGGAGTCTGTGGTGAGCCTGCTTCTTCGATTTGGGCTTCCTGGAAAGACAGTCAGTCTCCGGCTGCTGGGGTTGAGCGGGTGGCAGAGGGAGGAGGGACGAGGTCATGGAAACGGGAGTGTGTGGGATGGGGTGGATGTTCACAAACAACTGAGCTCGGCAGGGATCTGATGCTATAGCTGGCAGCACTCTGCAGCCAAGAATCTCATGGAAAACAGTACATAAATTATACCCTTCTAATATTTGTAACACAAACACATGTATGGATGTGCCTTGCTTTGTTGGGACTTGTCCTTTGCTGAGAAATTTGCTTTTCATCATCCCACTTCTGATGTATAGATGCCAGTTCGTGCCTAAGGTGATGGGGGAATTCTGCCTCCTCTGTAAGAGTGTTGTTTCCTCCTGGTTTATAGAGACCGGTCTCCAGCAATGTAGAACCAAGACATCAGCTGGCTGGTACATGGCAGTTCAGGATGCTGAGGTGAATCTTAGCGCACAACCTTTCACCCTTTTCCTGGGCTCTTGTGGAAGCAGAGCTGTAGACCTGGGAAAGTTATGAGCCGTAAGAAGAGCGATCAGGCACCCTGGACACTATAGCCGCTTCTCAAGAAAGATGCTCCTGTATTCTTCTGTCTGCAGTCCAAGGCATGCAGCCTGCTGAGAAGTAGCTGAATGCATTCAACACCTAGAAAAGCTGCAATGACTTGAGGAGGCTCATATGGTCCATGTTAGAGCTAAATCTCAGGACAATTGCATCTTGGTGATGAGGTGAAGAGTGACTACGGTGGTGATGGAGGCCCACCTCTATTTTAGAGAATCAACTGTAGCACAGGCAGAAAACAGCATGTTAGAGGATATATTGGCTAATAATCAGCCATCTGACTGCAGCAAGGGCTAAGAGATGATGTCTTCCTGAAAAAAATGGAGTTGCTCAGAGTTACCCTGGATAGGTGCGAGTTGGGGATAGTTGAGCAAGGTTGAAATGTATGAAGTAACCCACCGTAAAAGGCATCTTCACATGGAACAAGCAGAGTTGAGCTGCCCTTTAAGGCGTGCCGAGAGGTAATGGTCTCCAGAGTCTTCCAATAAGGAAGTTGCTACCACCGTTTGGACTCAGACTTAGGCACTGGAAGCTAGATGCTGGCTTGGCTGCTTGTTCAGGCTGTGTTAAGTAGTGACCTTGTGTTAAAAGGCTCTAGAAGCAGCTGTTTGGTCTTAATTCTGCTGTGCCATTCTCTATAGGCCTATAGTAGAAGGGCAACCCTCTCTTGCTATTTTCTTTGTCTCCTGGTCTGCAATCTGCAATAGTCTTCAGGGATTAAAGTCTCTCCTGTTGTGGCTTGATAATCGTACCTGTTTTGCATTTGTCTGTGAAAGGCATGATAGATGAGGGTGAGGAGGGGGAATATACTCCTGTACCAGTATCTTCCTGTCTTATAAGACATGCCATTGGTTCCTCAGCCTGGTTAGAAAGTTGATTGGCCTGTACGCAGTGGGAGATGCTGCCTTTCTCTTTGTTTTTCCCTGCTCCTCGAGTCTGCCTGCTCCAAGCCAGGTCCTCATAGAGATGGGGTAAAATATTGTCAGGAGATTCCATTAAATGTCTTTGAAACTTGTTTCGTTTGCTTTGCTCTATCCTTCTTCTGGAACCTGTTGACCTGCTAAACTGAGGTATTTGAAATCCGGGCCCTACATTAATGAAGCCAAAGGGAAGCCCTGTTAATGAAACTTTGTTTGTCTCATCTTTGGGATGAGTAGCTTTTTGCTTATCCAGCACAGCAACCTCTGCATCTCTGATAGATGAACTCTGTATGTGTAAGCATAAATAGTGGGTCTGGCTCTTCCCTGTCTGGCAGGAGAGAGGTGAAAATATCTCTGTCTGCAAGGTAATTGCTGGGGTCAAAGTGATCTCTGTGTGACCACATGCTGTCATTGAAAAGTCTGGAGTTCTGCATCAGTGAAAGCTCCACCTGTTAGCACAGAGCTGGGCATGAAGCAGGAGTTGCAGCGCAGGCTAACTTATCTTCAGACACTCAGTGACAAGAACTGAAGGAAAATTATCCTTTGACGTATTAATGCCAGGACACAGCAGTGCTGTGGGATTAAGTGGCTGATGGAACTGGTTTTGAAGTGACTAAATAGTCTTTGGTTCTGTAAATGCTATTCTGGATTGGACTGTTTTGCCGTAGGAATTATGCTTCCCATATGGACTGAAGTGGTTAGGACTTTGTTGTTTTGTATTTTTTTGCGGACAACGCTGTGACTTCCCACCCACTCTGCAGAGGTAGAGATTTCAGCCTCTGGGGCTTGCCATGAAATGATGGGCTGGGGAAGATGTTTGGCTAAATAAAGAAAGGGTTTCCAGCAGCTCTGCCACTGTCTGTATTTTCCCAGCAACTCTGGCTGCAGCCCCTTTTACAAGAACTAGATTATTATTTTAACATCTTGCTGCCTGTACGGCTCCTTGTTGACCCTGGTGCACCTGCTTCCCCAGGAACACCTGCATCCGGGGGGCTGAGTAGCATGAGCCGGCTCTAGAGGGGCAGCAGCAGGCAGCTTGCCTTGGGTGAGGGAGGCAGGCACCCATTTGCTAAGCGTGCTCGGAGGGGGGCTGCTCCTCTGCTGTTTCAGCGAATGCAGCAATGATGTGAAGTACTACCCAGCGAAGATGCCTAGATTTCCAGTGCAGTCTGCTTTTCTGCACTGTGTTGTTGCCCTTGGAGAGAAGGGAGCCTTTCTCTTCCTTGGGTTGATGGGATATCACTGCTCCTGGGAGCAGAGGGAACAGCCCACTCTCTACTTCTGTGGGGTGGAAAGGACATGGTGGCTTATCTTTTGTGCCCAGGAAGCAGACTTTGTGGACAGTGGCCATGTATTTTCCTCGCGCTCCTTTGCAGACAGATGGCATACGTTTCCAAGAAGGGCCAAAGCTCTCTCAATCGCTGAGCTTCCCAGAATGATTTTGAGTGCCCCTAGAAGCGTGGGTTGAGTGTGCCAGGCTGTCTCCAATATATGTGGGGCGTTGGCCCTTCCCCTCAGCAAACTGCCGGAAAAGGGCAGGCAAGAAGGGGAGTCAGGAGAGGGGAAGAAGAGAGGCCAAAAGTATTTGCATGTCCCCCTTGCCAACAAGAGCAATTGAAAGCAAATGCTCTCTGGTATTCACAGACGTGCATTTGTGCCTGCTCCCCTGTAGGAAGGAGAGCCCAAATTCTGAGCTAATGCTTCCATGAAATACACTGAAATCCAGCTTTCGGGGGAAGAAGTGGGTTTAAATCGAGAGAACAGCAGTTTTGAATGTGATCAGTTCTGCAGTCCTGAGTAGTGGGGGTGTTTTAGAAAACTCTGTACTTCATTAAAGGATCTATATTATATAATTTTAAAGAAGAAATAGCCTGGAGATTGAACCTAGTGCTACAGGGAGCATGGGGGTGCGATGTTGTACTTAACATGCAGGGACTGTAGAGGGGTCCCTCCTTGCATCCTAGGATTGTGCTGGGGAGGGGTAGCCATACCAAATGTGCACGTTCCTGGCTGCTTCCGTCTTCACCGAAGGCTGAGAACTTTAAATTACACTTCCCTTTTATAAAAAGCAGGTTAATATTGGAGAAAGTGCTTTTTTCGAGAGCATGATGCTAATGGGTTCACTATGTTAATTAAGGTCTACCTGAGGGGAGCCAAGAAGAGTGGAACCTGCAGCTGAAGTTTAATCCAGGAGTGCAATGTGCAGCTCTGACCATAGGTTCCTTAGCATTACCCCGGGCCCTGGCTCAGCAGGGGAGAGTTCAGGGAAGGAAAGTAGTGCACCCAGACATGCAGCATGCACTGAGCTCACATTACAGCCCTGTGACTCCCAGGCGCATCTCTGTGCTGAGCTGAGGAAACTTTGTTAGGAACCATGGAGCCCAACAGGCTGTTGCACTTAATGACATGTGAAATGAGGGAATGAGATGATGGAGAACATTGCCTCATTTCCATGGGATTTCCAGATTTTCTACATTCATCCCCATCTCACGTTTCAGATGGGAGGATTTCTGGAGGGCAATGATCTTTGTTACATTTGTGCAGGCCCTAGCACTGCGAGCTTGATCCGTGCAGGTTGTCCCCAGGCATCACAGTGATGCAGAAGCAGTAATAGAAGGAGAAATGCAAATGGTTAAAGTGTGTATGAAGGCATCCACGCTCTCAAAAATCCCACTGAGGTGTTCAGAGTAGGAAGATGGGAGTGTTTTTTATTGTTTGTTTGTTTATCTGTGGATCCACCACAATTTAAAACTAAAAGAACTATGTTGGACAGAACGAGTAGACTTTTGCCCTCCAGAAGAGAAGTCTGTCTTGGAAGCTGTCCACACCACACAGCATCAACAAATTGATTGATTACAGCTGGCAGCTTGGTGTGAGCCTGATCTATACATGGGGTGACTTTGCACTCCTCAGGAATTGCTGCTCTTGCCATAGCGGTGGGTCAGATCAGTGGTGGAGCAGACAGTAAAGCTGAGCTGTCTGCTGGCTGGCGTCTCCACTGGCGAGTACTGCTGGAGTCAGTGGTACATCAGCTGTGCTTTCAGTCAGCCTGCCAGGGAGGAGACTGGAGAGCAGACGCAGGCTCCAGTCATGCAGACCTGGAGCTGTGTTACAAACAGTCCCATGGGGGTTGTGAGTATGGGGCCTGTGATTACCAGAAAGGGCCTCTTTGGCTTGATGCAGTATTGATAGCGCCTGTTCAAGGATGCATAAGTAGATTCCTTGCCATTAGAGTGCAGGTGACACAAGCTGGTTGCCCTTTAATTGTCAAAGTTTAGCCCCTGGTGCCAGCTACGGAGACCACAGATCATGTCTGCTTCCCTCCCAGTGATGGGCCGAATCAAGAGCTGACGTAGACTGATGTATTTCACTTCACAGTCTTCTCTGAGTACTTGCTTATTAGTAAAAGCCAGGGATCTGCCCTGTTATCTGTTGCAGAGAGCTGCTCGCTCTATTGTATTCTTCATACGCTGCTCTAAACAAACTTTTCCCCACACCTTGGCTCGCAGGCTGCAGCAAGCATAGTCCCCTAGTTTTGAGGTTCAGCTCCCTAGAGGCAGAGTTGATTTGGGGTCTGTCAAAGAATATTACTTAAGCTGCTATTTTTTTTTTGCTATGAGGATGGTTTGGTCCTTCTTTTTCCCTGCCCACCTCCCCAGCTGCCCAAACAGGGGCACTGTGTACACACAGCAGCCCACACACAGTCCTGTATTTGTTCCCAGCGCTGGATTCTGGATGGTCTTTTTGGATCTGTTCTAACCTCTGTTTCTGTTGCTTGTTCCCTTCCTCCTTTGCCTGTTTGAGTTCCTACTCATATGTCCCATCCCTTTGCTTGCATCAGATTGACTTTTTACTGTGAGCTAGTGCAAAGCCTCTGGACACTTTGGTAATCCAGGCAATAGGTACAGTTCTCTGTGGGTTTTAAGTTAAAGGGATGCTGCCAGGTTAAAAAGAATGTATTTTCATTCGACATACCCTCTCTCTCAGCACTAACATGCCAGATGATTAAAGCATAAAAGGATTTTTAACCATCTAATTTGCTTCCCACTATTTACAATGTTTGTGTGTCTTTTTTCTCTCTACTCGGACAGCGGAAACAGGCTCGGTACTTCTTCATGCTCTGCTTTCTCAAGGCTGGGTTGGGTCCAAGACCCTGCAGGGAAACGTTTGTTTCAAAAATAAACTCTTGGCTACAGAACAGGGGGAAAAGGCAATCAAGCATCTTTTGTACTTGTGTCTTGTGTACGCTTGCATGATTTTTTTTCCGAATTAAAAAATGAAAACTGAGCAGGCCACCAAATGCCTCCATTGATGGAGCAGGGGAGGCAAATTTTGTCTTGATAGATCCTCTGATCACTCCTTCCGATTCCCTCTGCTTCTTACCTTTAAGGTTTCAGGTGAAGTAATTTCTCTTCCATTACAGTAGACTGCCTCACCTGACTTGACTACCGTGTCAATGCCTTCTCTCTTGAACGAGAGTGGAGTGTAGGTCCAGAGTCAAGGTTGTAGGAGTGAATCCCAGAAAGCACTGAGCTGATTTTAGAAGACCCTGTTGCAAGTTCTCAGCACTTCTGAGAATCATGCCTCTTCTATAAGGGAGGAGTAGGAATCTGGGAACCCGTATTTCTGGCCACCATGCTTGGAAACTTTGGTGGTCCTCCATAACCCAAAGCGTCTTATGCACAGCCATATGAATGCCCCTTTTAGAAGAGCTTCTTCCAGCTTTAATAGCAGGTCCATTGCTACCCTTTTAGGTCTTCTCCTTTGATGAACCTTATGCCTTGCTATCCTTCATCTGTCTCTCCACCATGATTCAACACCGGTGACATTGGTATCCTGTGCGGTTGCACCAGTAAGCTGTTGCATTGGCCAAGCTTTCCATTTGTTCTTTGGCGTTCTTTGATCTCCCAGCAGAGCCCAAGCATTGCTCTACCTAAGGAGAGTTGTCAGTTACACCACTCCTGATTTAGTAGTTGCTTAAATGAACTCACACTTGGCTCTGCCTGCAGTCTTAGTCATGGATGCCAGTTCCAATCCAGGAACGAGAAACGGGTCATTTGGGACTCCACTTTTGGCTCCCTGTATTTGCTACGTTTTTATTGCAAAACTTCTGCTTTGAACACCTTCCTTAAATTTGCATTCCCTCTCTCCACGCAGGAACAATGGGAGAAGCAGGTCAAAGAGGAGGGGACACCTCTGACCAAGTATTACACTCAGTGGAAGAAGCTAAGAGAGAAGGAGATACAGCTGGAAATCAGCGGCAAAGAAAGAGTAAGAATGAAACCACTAACTTACTGCACATTTAGCTGTGCCATGGGAAGAAAGGGAAAGCATGTCCTAGCAGCAGGATGGTGGCTGGCCAAAACCAGCTCCACTGGCGTGAGCTGAAGTTGGCTTGAACTGGATGGATGTGTAGGCTATGTGTTCTTGGAAATAGTATGGGTGGGTCTGGATGACACAGTCTAGCCAGTGTCTTCAGCTTCCTGGGGGTCTGTCTTGCTGGGAACTCCAGGAGCAATATCTGGGTCACTAGCCTGCATCTTGTTTGTTTGCCCAAGCTGGTAAGAGGAGAAGTAGTGCTGGGATAAACTTCCCTCTGACTGCTGTTTCCTTGTAAGCCTGCTTGCTGCCCAAAGTCAGTCTCTAGGCAGCTGACTTTGTTGCTGATGGTAGTTCAACTTGACACCTTAAAGGTGTATGAATTTCACAGTGTGGGTTATCCAGTTTGGGCTGACACTCAGACTTCATGACTTGGCTTGGGGGCCTTGGCTGGACCTCACCTCTAGCAATGAAGCCAAGCATTATATTTAGACACTCTGCTTAATTGTTTGGTTGCATTGGTTGTTGAGTCATTTTCGTTTGCTTGTTTTTAAATCTGTGTACCTTTTTTTTTTTTTTTTTAAATCTGTGCACTTTCACTTTTTTTTTTTCTTGGCACCTGGGGGCAATAGCCTTACTGTGGATGCTACTTTAGGAGCAGGTGTGTGATGCAGTTTTGAATTTTGGACTCTACCCACAGTGCCCCTTCAGTGTGTTCATCCCCACTTTTATGGGCCTTCTTACATTGCCCTGGGCAGTTGTAGCACTTCAGACTGTTCTCCTGAAGCAGAGTGGATTGAGTTCGTCTATCCCTTTGGCTCCATTTGACCAGCTCTGCAGAACCTGACTGGATTGCCGTGCTAGAGCCTAGCTTTCCAAGAAAGTGGGGAGGGTGAAATGTGTCTGTCCTTAGCAAAGGAAATATCAGAGATGGATTTTGCTTAGCAGTTTTTTGTTTCACCTAAATGGATGGCTGGTTGTGAGGTGGGACTTGCTGTCTGGATGAAAGTGTTCAGGCTGCCATTTCCCACATCTCCCACCCAAGTGAAGGTTCCCTGGCCATTCCCCTTGGCACTGCACTCCAGGATGAAAAAGCTGGGGGTGGGAGCTTACTTAAATAAGGAGCCCAAAGGAAAGCTGTCTCAGTGCTAATACAATGAAAGTGGCTGAGCTAGGCTGTTGGCCAGGAGCAGGAAATAGATATAATTGGTGTCTCCAGCATATGGCGGGGAACAATTAAAGTAATCAATGGGACATGAGGATGACTGGCTCTGAGCCAAGTCCCAGAGCATGGTAGAAAACCAAGGATATCCAAGGATATGCTCAGAATTGCATACCAACCTGGGAAAGGCTGGGAGACAGAAATTGAAATTCCCTGGGGCAGCCATGCAGAATTTTGCTCTGCAGACCCAATAGGAGAATGTGGCCTTTGCAGAAACAAAGTTGCCTGAGTGGGGCTAAGAAACCACAAAAACGGGATTGTTGTGAGTGGGGCTGACCTCTTGCCCAAAACTGGCCCTGCTGCTGTGAGCTGAGACATTTGTGGAACTGATGCAGCTATTCCCAGGAGGAAAGAGATAAGCCTTTTGCATAGACGAGCCCCATGTCGCATGTTTAAGGGAGGAGAGGCATTAGAGCTCCTTGGGGTAGCAGGGACCAGTGGAGGTAGAGAGCTCCCCTTTAGGGGGGATTCCTTTAGCCTAGCAAGGTTCAAGTGGATTACTTCTTAAGCCAGGGGCAGGCTGAAGGGCAGTAACAGAGACTTGTTCGCTCCTGGAGGAAGTGGGCTGAACAGATAAACGGTAGAGAGAGACAGATTTTGGAGGTAGCTTTCAGAAAGGCCTGTGGCTGCCTGACATCTTTGCTTGGTGAATGGGGCTGTTGTCTCTCTCGGTGGGGACCGCTAGCTTAATGATGCAGTATTGTGAGCCCCAGCAGGAGAGCGAACACCATGAGGCCCATTAGGGCTGGGAAAATCCATGTCCTATTAGCAGCCATTTCGGGAAGAAAATAATAACAAAAAAAAAATCAGCTTGGCTCTCAGCTGCTGTGAGCTGAAACTTGCCTTATATAACAGCGCAGACCCTGTCTGCCTGTTCACTTTGCTTTTCCCAATGGTTCTTAATGGGATGCAGACTAATCGGCTCCGTGAGGCTCAGTAGATAGTAACCCTCTAGCTGGGGGATTAAAAGACTGGCCCTCAAATTACCTAGTTACTGTTCCTGTTTGATGAACACAGGCTGTATCTGGGAGCTGTGGCTCAGTGCAAGGCCTCATTCCTTTGCTTTGTAATTGCTCCACAGCTAGTAGGGGTTTCTGGTGTCTTTATTTTGAGGTGCTCGACTTGAAGGCACTTGTGTGGAGTCTCAGAAAGTTGGGGGTGGCATGACTCAGGATGATGCAACACCAAGTCCTTTTTAATAGGCTCAGGTTGGGTCCAACCAGTACTGATGTCGCCCAAAACTGGCTACTTTTGGAAATGAGGACTCATGTTTGTATTTTCCTGTGCCTAAGACATCCCAAATAACAGTCTCTGCTCCCTGCAGTACATGCCCTGCATAGTATACTGAAGAAGTTTTACCCCAATGTTGATAGAAATCTCTCCCCTGTGCTCCCTTGAATTAAGAAGTTAGACTCTTCCACTTTCGATGCACAAGACATTTTGCTCACAGGTAGCTCCCTTTCCACTGTAAAAGCACTAAGTGATATGTTCCATGGAAATATCCTACGCTCCAGGTGAGTGAAGAGGAAGAATAAGGTCTTGAATGACTTTTACATTTCATTTGCTACTGCCTCATTGAATCAGTATTTCTGGTGCATTCCTTCTCCCACTCTCCCCCTTTTACGGGCTAGACCAAGTGGGAAGAATGAAGCATGAACCTGTCTTGTCCACCAGAACTGGCAGGAGCTAAGGGAAATATTTTCATCCTAGCAACTCCCCTGGCCCAAGATGGAGCTTGCTGGAGCTCAGCCACCCTGGGAGAATGGTTAAGGTATATAATTAGGTCATCTGAGGGCAGCTGTTTGGCGGTGACTCTGAGTTGCTGCTCTTGCTGGGGTTTGCTTCCTGAGTCTAGTCTCTGGCATGCAAAGGCTGCTGTTTGAAAAGCCCGTCATGTGCTGCTTTCTTCACATGTCTTCCAGGCACAGAGACAGTTCGGCAGGTCTCTGCAGGGCCAGTGGGAGGAGAGGCCTCTCACAGTGGAATAGAGCAGGTGGTAAAATGGTTTAAAATTAGGACCCTGCAAATGGTAGTTGGTGCTTTGCTCCCTTCTCCCCTTCTCTGGCCAGCTTCTGACTTTCCATCCTAGTGCTGCAGGTTATTGCTTATAAGTGCTCAGCTCCCGGAATCAATATTGCCCAGTTGGGGACCATAACTGTGAAACTGGCTGGGAGAATTTGCTGCAATTGGCTGCAGGAGCAAACGCGTGTGTGTCTCTATCTCTGCCGAGAGCCGCTTTTCTGTACGGAGTCTGCTTTGCTGCTGCTCCTGCTGGGGGAAGCTCATGGGGGGAGGGTTGAAGTGGCTGTGGTCAGAGAGGAGTGCATCAAGGGGTGGTCTGATGGGTGGGAGAGAGCAAATGACTTATTAGTAGCAGGGCGAATGTTTCCAAGCAGGCTAATGTGTGCTAATGCATGAGTGCTTCCCCGGAGGTGTGCAGCCAGGCGCAGGCAGCGGGCAGCTGATGTTCAGAGAGCACTTGGGATTTAATTTGCATTCCGATTATCTTCACCCTGCTGGCATGAGCCCTTGCAAGTAAATCCTCCCCCCTAATCCCCCTCCGGAGAGGTGTAAAGAGCAGTGAGGTGGTGTCGCTTGCAAGTACTTAATAGCATTGATATTGGCTGTGTCTGCAGCAGCAAGGCTTGCCCCACTGAACTCTGTAAGGACTAGCAACAGGGGAAGCTGTAGGGTAGACATATCTTAAGCATCTTCAACGCCTTTCCGTTTAACTGTGCTGAAATCTGCAGCCAAATAGAAGGTTATAGCTGCCACAGATTTTGGCATTGGTGCAGGACCACTGCTTCAGAGCTGACCAGCACAGACTGGCTTGGTTGTACTTGTCTGCCCAAGCACATATGGCCTGCATGGCTTTCTGTCCAGAGATCTAGGACAGCCAGCTTGTCATGGATGTCTTGCATTTTTAGCCATGCCAAGCTATCAGTAGTAGATGGCTCATTAGCAAAACTAGTTCACTGGGTAAGGATCAGTAGAGCAGTGGTGCTTTGCGCTCACCATTCGCCTTTGTAATTGACTCACAGATGTGTCTGTTGTTGCCCTGCTCGGCAACAGCCAGACATGACCCTTGCCTCTTGGCCATGTGGCTTGCACGTACAGAGCGAAGCCAAGTCCCTGTGTTTAAACCTTGTAATGTTTAAAAGTACAAGCTAAGGTTGTTCTTACTGTTGGTTTGTTTTTTTTTTTTTTCCTAGCTTGAAGACTTGAACTTCCCAGAAATTAAACGTAGGAAGCAAGATGAAAAGAAGGAGGAAGATAAAAAGGAATTCAAGGACCTCTTTGAACTGGACAGTGACTCTGATGAGGAAAACGTCGGATTCTCTGTGAAAGGTATGGGTATGGGGCTGGGCATGCGTTCTCCTTGCTCAGATTTCTCTATGGTGTGGGGCAGTATGGCTCTACCCCAAGGGAGATGTGTGCTGGCCATGTTTGGTTCAAAAGATTTAGTGACGTGGAGAGAGAGCACAGCATGATGATGCCCTTTGGAGGCTTTATAAAGTGGCAGACAGAAGCTAGTTGGGAGGCTTTTATTTTTCTCTCCCTCCTCCGTTCTGTCACTCTAGCTCATTTTAAAGCCTGCATTAGTCTTTGTTTCCCTGCATGACCCATACCCTCTCCTCCCCTCGGCACCTTTCTTTTGTCACAGAGACTGACCCCAACCAGGGAGCTGGAGAGCCAGGGAATGTTTAGATGAACGTAGAGCCTGTTCTCAAAGGCTTCAGAGAAGTAGCTGCAGTTCATACAATAACTCCCCAAAGAGTGAGTTCTCCTTCTTGCGCTCATAACCGGTGCAGGTTCTGGGCAGTAGGCTGACCTTGGAGAACCTGGGGTATTTGCTGTCCTTTTTCATAGTGAGTGGAGGTGCAGGAACGCATATTTCATTTCCTCACCTTTAAAGTAGAAATGAGAACGTTGTTCTACCCAACGGCAGGCCAGGATGGTCTCTTTACACATTATTGCAAACAATGGCTGTCACAGGGGCTGGCTCCCGGAATCTTTGCTGGAAGAAGGGTTATCCTCTCTGTGCACGCATTTCTGATTTATTTATTTTCTAGTGACTGACGCTGCAAGTATTCTTGATGAGCCAAGAAAGTTTTGAATCTCTGGAGGAAATGGAGTGATATCACTCACTGGCTGTGACCACGAGGGGGCCACAGTAAATTGTAGAACCTGCCTAAAAAGTTCACCATGTGGTTTGGAGAAAAGCTTAAATTGTCTTTTTGTAATTTGGAGAGTTTGAGATAGCGCAGGTTTTCTAAATGCGTTATCATTCATATCCTGCTAGGGAGACTTGCAAGACTGCAGGGTTTTCCTGTTGTGGGGGAGGTTCGATCTGCAGGTAAAGTTCTAATCTGTCAAACATGTTGTGAGGTGTGAGGGTAAATCCTGTGAGGGTAAATTACCACAGAAACCCCTGTGAGGGTAAATTACCACAGAAACAGGTTAGCATTGTCTCCTCAGAGGTGTCTGTGGTAGAGGAGGAGGAGGAAATGGTCAGAAAACTTGTTTGACAGCTTGAGGTAGAAGTCAGTGAATTTTTGTAGGGAGGAGAGTGAAAGTGAGGACATGATCCAGCAAGATGCTGAGATATCAGTGTCACATCAAAATGGGTTGCTGATATAGCTCCTTGAGATCTGGGGTTGTCCTGCCTGCCAAACAAATTAATGCCTTAGAAGCATCCTAGTGGCTTCTAAAAAGGCAGGTTGCTGAGAGCCAGGGAGACCTATGGTGCTGCCTGGGCCTCCCAGGAACGGGCTTTATGTATTCTTGGGAGGTTGCTTGGGCTCTGGTCAAGGATTCTGGGAATACACGGGTATCCTAAGGTGAAGGAGGCACATCTGTGACGAATGTTACTGATGATACAAGATGAGGTCTAGGGCAGCTGTCTGGCTGGTACCCTACTTTGCACAGGTCCTACCTTGGTGCTGGTGCTTACCTGCTCACTGCAGAATATGCTGAATGTAAAGTTTTACAGCTTACGTGTTAGGCTCAGCTTCTCCCCGCTACTTGTGTGTGTGCTTGTGACATCTGTCTGCGAGGCTCTTGGGCACCTCCAAGGGGCTGACATATATTGTGAAGAGAGCGCAAATGAAGATTAAAGTCCATGCAGTATCAAAGGGCTCTCCCTGCTCCGTTTGCATGAATCCCGTCGCTGTGGTATCTAGTCGCTGAACACGTATCAGCACTGTCTCAGGGTCAGTAACGGGCCTTGCCTTCCAGCGTTCCTGGGTCCGCTGCCTCTCCGTAGTCTTTGTTCTTAGTGGGGTGTTTTCTGAAGGGAGGGAACAGGCCCTGAAGGCCACTTCCGTTTCAGGGAGCAACTTTACTCAGCCCCCGTGAATCATGAGGCTCTGGGCGGAGACAGTGGAGCGAGCACTTGGTCTGTACTGTAGTGTAGGGTGAAGTCCCCTCCAGGCAATGATGTGACTGCACAGTGAGAAAGGGGCACAGAGCAGGGAGGCTGGGAAAAGTGGCTGTGTCTTGGGAGATGCATACAATGAGCTCTTGTTCTTACTGCCTGTGGGGTGTGAGATGTTCCCAGCCATGTTCTGCATTCAGTAACTGTCCGGGTTGGCTGCGGATGGAAGTCAGAGAAGCCAATGCTTCAATTTGCTGCAGTTCCCTGTGTTTGTGGCCATTGTTCTACTGGGTGGCCAAATGCAAGGGAATTTGGGAGGCCCTGCAGCTGCTGTGGCCTGAGTGTTTACTTTTTTACCTGTGAGGTTTGAGGGCATGGCAATCTCCTCTCCTCAAATATGGCACAGCGGAAAGACATTGGTTCATCTTGAAGCATTAAGGCTACTTAAAAACATAGCTCCTAACCCTTGCCATCCCCTTCCTCAAACTTTCAAGCTGCAGAAGTAGCCTGCTCTGGCTCAGATGTGAGGACAGGTTGACTACAGAGATGGAGGAGAGAGTAGGACCCCTGAAATCAGCCTCAAACTGCTTCTAAGAGAGCCATGAAGAGGGCAGCTGATGGCAGAAGTCTAGGCAGGAGGAGGAGACCACCCTGGACCTTCTAAGGAAATAAGGAAAATAAGAAATGTAGCTGGAACTGCCCAGTGATGCGGACCTCTCTGTACTATGGCAGGGAGAGGACTGATGCGAGCCAGGCAAGTGTTATGGAACTAACTGTGGCGTTGGCGTGTTGTGGGAGTCTGTGAAAGCTCATAGTCACCTCTCTCAAACAGAGTGGCAGAGAAGGCCTGGGCAGATCTGCTGTTCTAACATAGCACTGTTTCCAGACATGGGCAGGAAAAGATGGGGCTGGTAGGCCCCCCCCTCCCTGCTATAGGAACGGAAGCAGGGACATGGTTTGGGAATGACAAGGATGATGTGGGAGAAGAACAAGAGGCTCCCTGAAAAGCTCAGCCATCCCCAGAGATGTGCGTGTTCTCCTCATTAGGCTTGGCAGTGGCACACAAAACTGTGCAGTGTTCTTACTGGAAAGAGCCGGTTCCCGAGCTTTACCTCCTGGGGATCAGTAGGTCTTTGCAAAGAATTGGGAAGGAGGGAGGAACTCCTGGATAGGAAGGAACTTACTGCCAGAAAAGTCCTTGCTAGCTAGCTGCAGGAGTCTGTGGCTGTAATTCATCCTCCTAGGCTACCCCATGGGTTCCGTCTGTGGAGACTCTTGCTCTGATCCGGAAGACTCCCTTCCCCCTGATCCTTGCTACTCAGAAGTGTAGATTTTGGAACTAGCAGCTGGTGTAGCGTCATTGTGGCTTTCTGGTGAGACGTGGGGATATGAAGCATAGTGAAAACGCTTCCCATCTCTCATTAACCAACGTATTTGACCTGGCAGAATCTTTCCTCTGTTGACAGGATGTTGTTCTTCCTATTTGTGGTTGTTTTGACCAGTCAGGTTCTTGGCCAAATTCAGAAGAGTGGAAAATTGTCTATTAAAAGCCAGGAAATTATCAGGTTTGTGTTATTCAGCTGCTGTTCAAAGCTGGTTTTCCCCCCCCCCCCCCCCCCCCCTCCTTTTGTTTTGGTTTACATTTAAGTATTGCATCAGTGAAATGTCTATTTCAGTTCACCCCATTTCTTCCCTCGGGAAGAGGGTAGACCTGGAGAGCAGCTAAATTTTTTGGATTAACCATTGCTAAAAACTTCTTGCTCATTAACGGACTTCTATCTCCAAGGCCTTTGTATTTTTTAGAGCAGAGCAGACTTCTGAAGAGCTCTTTGCGATCAGTTTGAAGAAGTCTTAAAATGCAAAACAATCAATAAAGGGAAATCTCTTTTAGGGAACAGAAAGGGTAGGTGAGCCTCCCTAAGAGCATTAGCGAGAAAGCATCTAACTGCAAAGTGAGTTGCATAGTTAATTGACACAAATGGGTGAGTTTGCACAAGCCTGGCCCTGGGACAGGCATGTCCTGTCTTTGCTTGGTGGGGGAAGTAATTGAGGGAAGGGGTGGGCAGCATTGATGTGAGCCATAGCTGAGTCAGCTCATGCAGGATGCAAAGCTTTCAAGCTTGCAGCTGACCCTCTGAACTCACCAGGAGCTTTTTAGAGTTGATCACATGTATATGTAGGCCTTTCACAGGTCCCTTCAAGGACCTGTGTCTGTTCCTTTCAAGGCCCAAGCTTGTCCACATAAGCAGATGTGTTTAGAAGAGTGAGTTGTGTACAGGTAGACACAAGCTGTACGTGCTGTTTTCATGGGCTGGGTTTATGGTTTCCCTAAGCTTTAAGCTTCGCAGAATGGGCAGTACAGTCTCTGCCCTTCCTTGTGTGTTTGTGGTGACTGCAGAAACAGCACACGTTGGGACTGAGTGAGTCTGAGTGCTTTTTGTAGCCGCAAAGATCTCCAAGGCAACATAATGACTGTCCTTTGTCCCCCAAACATTTTGCCTCCAAATGAGTATCTCCATGTCTCGCGCACTCTCCTGGTAACCTGTGCCTCCAGGGCTCCAGAGATGAATGCTGGATGGAAGCTGCTTTGTACTTCGGGTCTCTGGTTCCCTTATGGAGAAAGGTGTGTAAGTGGAGGTTAGAGAAATAGGATCTGAATAACCAGCCAGGCTGTGGCTTGCCACAGCCGGGTGTGGATGTTGGGGCAGAGTCCTTAGCTGGAGGATGATACAAATCATCATCTTCCCTGAAAGGTATCTCCAGCCCCTGGAAGGGTTATAGTATGACATGGGCATCTCCAGCATTCGCTGTTCTGGGAGGTGGTCTGTAGCCCCACTGATGTGGGCAAGGGAGTGTTCTGAGTAGCCAGCTCCAGGCATGGCCGAGAGCAAGGTGGCAGGCCTGGGGTCAGGGAAGGTGCCTCAGGCCCTTCATTTTTGCCCTGACCCTTTTGCACCTTCCCTGCTCCGTA